CCAATATGCGTGAAATCGTAGAAAAAATTAAAATAAATCGGCGCCGAGCTTGTGCAGGATCATCACCCCCAAAGGATGGTTACGACGATGATGATATCGAAGCTGATGGTCATGACTATGATTAATACGATGATGGTTTTTGGTGATAGTGGTTGATGATGTCGTGCAACATGGCTTTTGTAGCTTGGCGGACGGAGAGAAAACGGTTTGACAATGACAAAACAGATTCTCGCTACTGTTGCTTTTGCTGCCCTTGCATTGGAAAGTGTTTTGCTTGGGCAGAGACGGCATTTTCGACATTGCAGGTCTTCGGCTTCTCCGGTTTCCGACCTCAGTTTCCGGCATCTTGTTCAGGGCTCGCATATAGCATTGCATCCAAGGTCTTGGGATAGGGCAGCAGCAGAATGTCTCCAGGTCCCGGATATCGGGTTCACAAGCTCCATCAAACGTCCCCAGCTCCGAAATTCAGTTTCGAGTCCGAGACTCTGTATCGTGATGTGTATAAGGACAGAGACAGAAAGACTTTATGGATGTAACCATGCTGCAGACGCTGCTTGGAGTTGCATGCGTTGAAGCACACGAATGCTCGTTAAACAAGACGGCTTCAGTAAGGTCGCATCAGGTTTTATAGTCACATGCGTGAACCAAATCCCAGACGGCCAGCTCCAGATCATCTCGGTGCCTCAGGTGTTGTCATGCCGGCTCCCACGAGCTCGACGCCTTGGACCGCTCCTGCAAAGCCGTTGAAGGCAAGACAGCTGTAATGTTTGTGCAGACACAAAACTGACTGAGCATGCAGGCCCCGGTCGCAGAAAACCGTGGGCTCTTCGCCGTTTACCTGCAGAGCGCTCTGCAGGCGCTGCCGCTGCAGATGTAGGATTTGCACATCTTGACTTTGGTTCAAAGGGCATGGTTTCGGGTATCATGTTTCGGAGATGTGTTTTTGGCAGGCTGTTGTTTCTCATGTCACCAGGAACCGCAGACGGAAACGGCAACTTGCACCATCAAGGAAATGTCCTTGCACATTCCTCAGCCGGATCCCGAAATGAGTCTAACACCCTCAATCCTACATCCTGGGGACCTAGAAGGCTTATAGCCTGTGGAACAGAAATCGTGACCGCCCTGGAAGCGTCACCGAGCGCTCCCAGTCTGAAACCCAACTCTGACTAGTGACTAGAATATCTAGAAGCGCCCGCTCTGGAGTAGAAGGTCAGAAGGCCTCATGGGGGCTCCAAGCCGCAAGCAGAAATCTCGCCTCAAGCACGACAGAAAGGTTCTGCGTGAGTTCACTGTTCGTGTGCAGTGCCTCGTCGCCTCATCCTGGTCGGCCCCTGAGCTTCTTTAGCGTCGTTGAGCGACTCTTGATCGAGTTATATTCAGCTTGAGCCACAATGCTCATGGGCTGGATCAAAGATCCGATTCCAATGAAGGTGTTCATGCTCTGCGGCTTTCAGCATGCAGGATGTGATGCTTACAGAGATGGAAGTACATCGATCCAAGGCGCAGTTCCCCAGGGGGCCCTGTTGACTTGCAGCACTCATAGAATGAAGGCGGAATATCTTTTGACCAGATTCGCGCACATTCAGACCCTAAACATCTCTGCATAGCGGAACCCGCACTAATTCTGATTAAGCACCCCGCCTCAAATCCGGAGCCTCAGGCGACGCGGACCCAAGGCCTTGACAGCCTGCCAGCTCCAGGCGAGGACCCGACGCAGGTTTAGAAGTTGGGCATGGAGTGGATTCGGACAAGGCCAAAGTACACGAGGGGTTCTGCGTGGTGTTTGCATGTTTTTTTTCACGTTCATAGGATTTGCTTGCCGGTTTCTGCTCGAGGAACCTGTTTGTTGAACCATTTGTATCAACGGCTTTTCCAGAAAGCCGCAGGTGTTACTGCCGAGCTAAGATTGATGCAGGATCCGGGAGCAGCTTAGGACGTGGCTCTGGCTGCAGACCTTAATTGGGGATGTGTGCTTGTTCAAGGGCCGAATGCCGAAGACTTTTGTGAAGGGCAGGTGGGAGGTGTATTGCAGCCATGTATGTGGCTGCCAGGTTAAGGTTGATCTGCCTGGAGTCACAGAGGATTAAGATCAAAATTCAATCGAGACATCTCAGCTACACCATGGACGGTCCTGGATAGCCTGAAATACAGAAGCTCCTCGCCAAGCCAGAATCCACAATTCTACTTGTAGCTTGTTCCAGGTGCTGGAAGCAGACGTGGTAGAGCTCGCGCCTCTCATGAGGACCGCCAGAGGGAGCCAAGCTCAGGAAAGGTTTCTCAGCCGAGAGGAAAGAGTGTAGGAATTCAGGTTTGTCAGGCTCGCCACGGGTTGACGCAGGATTAGTTGGTTCGGGCTTCTTTGGGATTGGTGCTTCAGTATCCGGAGCACGTCTCACTAGCGGTATATAGCTCGCGGCAGCATTGAATTTTCGACTCCTACTCGCGTCGAGTCTTGTCAGTGTTCTGATTTGGGTTTCAGCCACCTTGGTGGCCATAGTGCCTAGTTTTCTGTTCCCAAGCTTAGTTTGCATGTATGCATGGTTTCTGACATTCGCTCCAATTGCAGTGGCCAAGTACCGGTTGTTGGTGTGCGCTTTAGCGCAGTGATGCACCAAATCTCAGACACTTCTTCGCTTCGCAGTGAACAGTTAACTAACGAAAATAAGAGATTCTATCATAAACCATTTCATCAGTTTATATGTATATAGATATAGATATAGA